CTGTGATTTAACACCATTAGACTACTTCTTGAGCGGAAATTTGAAGTCATTCGTCTTTAGAAATGAACGGCATCCTTTTCAAGATTTAGAAGTCAATACCAAAATTAATGAGAAACTGCTCCAATCACCACAAATCCAAAATGACAGTGTTTTCAAAGCTTACATCTTCACATAGAAATCACTCCTCTTGAGTCGTGACTCTTGTCATACAATTTTAGTGTTCCATATTAACATTTTACATAAATTACAATATGCCATATCGTAAAGTTGCCGTTACGAGATTTAACCTTTTGAAATGTGAATTAGCACAGTGATTGCCTGAATATGAGAAGAAGTTCAAGGTGACTGACACTCTCCCAAGTCAATAAATTTCAATAAAGCACTTATTGCACTTATTACTTCCGTAAAAAGCCATTACGCTTAAATTGTCATAAATGGAGAAGTGTGAAGTTTTTGTCATTCACGCAAAGAAGTAGTTTGGGCACGTAGATTGTAATGAAAGAGTATGGGAAAAGWTATTCGAAGGTTGGAGACATTTTCGTTTTCTACTTCTTGGGAGTAATAATTAATTAATATCATTATTTGTAGCGCTTTTAATAGTAAAGTTTCACCAAAATTTCTGCAAATTTTATGATTTCCGAACTCTGTACGTTTGACAAATATTTTGTAACATTTACCACAGTTGAGTTGGATGCGTATATTAGAAACAAGATTCCATTGGCTAGCATATGGATAGCACAGCACGCCTTTACGAAGGATTCATCCATAGAGACTGCACTTCACTCTCTAACCTTAAACATAGCGAGAGCTCTAGAGCATAAGGAATATGCCCTAATCGGCWTTCTTGACGTAAACACAGCGTTTAMAATTGTTTWCAATGGCGCACTCGTTAAYTGTAGCAGCCCGCATAAAGCTCGCCATCATAGCATAGATAAAAGCTATGCTGAGCTGCAACAAGATTAATGCAGGGTGGAAAGTATCTAGATTTCTCCGTTTAACGCAAACTGGAACTACTCAGGAATTTCTCTTTCGCCTCTCCTGCGGTCACTTATRGCAAATGAGCTTCTGGAAATTTTTAAAGAAAGGACACCCAAGCCAAGACAGGCGTATCTTGTTTTAGGATGCTTTGTTGTTGTGTGTCTCATACTAGAAACGTTTGGTGCGAATACCGCTCTCTTTGTAACGGGAACAATAATAACCACTCCTACGGCTGTGCTGAAAGGATACAGCTAATAACGCGGGAAGTGACATGAAGACATTAATAAGGACATAGTTAGACAAGGAGCAATTAAAACCACAATACCGCATCGCATTGTATCAGCTAATGTCCGTAGAAATAAGGTGGCGATATATTATATGTAGAGGCTGCCCGAAAGCGGGTTCCAGGCTACAAGTGCTTTCCGGGATACAAAAAAGCTGATAAGATTGGCAAAGGACTCATCTGTCTGGTTATCGAACCAGTTTAAAAAACATGCAAGTCGCTAAAAACGATACACAATASAATTTTTGAAAGAAATGACAGACGGATCACGGCAATATAGAATGCCTTATAGGTATGAGGAGCGCCAAGACCATGTGCAAGGAACGGCATTCATGCTTTTTACTTACATGGTCACGTAAAGGCTGCGTTGACGTCTTACATCGTACATAGTCCATATGGCATTTACGTCTACCTACTTGCCAATATGTATAACCTAACCTATCGCAATATAAGCTAACCTGATCTTATACCATTGAATTTGTTTAAGAGGTTCCAAATCAATTTCATAACCTTAATAAAGGACTTTTGAATAACCTGTGTTTGTATTGTTTTTAGTTTTAATTTTTAAGAAGTTAGATGGGTTCCTCGGGTAAAAAACAGTCTTTCTTTAAAAACTTTGTTTTTCATACAAAATCTGAAATATTTTATTAGAATTTTTTATTGTTACAAATATACGCTATAACAAAGACCTTCTGAAATTTTTGGAACAAAATATTTCAAAGTCGGCCATTGCGACGACATTTCCGGTGACCCTTCGAAAAAAGATGCGCCCCCGTTGGCAAGAAAATACTTCACAGGATCATATAAGTAAAAAAATACGTGTTTTATTGAAAACCTTCACTTAGAACTTTGACGAAAGAAAAAAACTGAAAATTTTATTTTCGGCAGACATTTTTACAAAAAAATATAAATTTCAGTGAAAACATTTGTTTTATAATAATTGTAATCGAAATCAAATAATTTTTCATGCAAGTTTTTAGAAATTGTATCACACAGACCTGTGCAAAATTTCATGAAGATCGGGTAAGTAGTTCTCGAGAAATCTTTCTCACCAAAAACACAATTTCAAGAAAACGCGTTTAAAACCTAAGCCTAGCTAGTCTCAAGATCACATATTATCAAGGCTGTATCTCCGAAACCAWTACTCGGATCAACTTGACAATTTGGGACAATACTCTGGAAATGCTGTAGAATTTAATGAGAAAAAAAATTCAAAGCTATCAATAAATAAATAAATAGAGAATATCCGCAGAAATTTTGCACATTGAGCTACTACACGATATACTATATGTCACACAAACTTATAAAAATCCAAATCAAAATAAATTGATATTTATACTATATTATACTACAAGTATAAGAAATGTACCGTCCGTATAAAGTGTGAATAGCTAACGGTTAACGGTTTTATATGTAAAAGCTCATAAAGCTTTGGTATAAATTATCTGTCTACCTTTCCACGCGGCACACGCTTCCTCCGGCGACAGCTGCCACATTTCTGTCTTTTTCAACCTCGGTTTTGAAATCTTCACCTATTTCTAATGCAAATTAATGCTACGATTTTATAACTCAACACACCAAATAAAGAGTACTAAATTAATATAATAAGAAGTGCGAGATAAAGCAAAGCAAAGTGTGGTAAACTGGATCAGTATCGAGTCAATTGACCCAAATTCTTAGTCTTTTTCCMATTTTTCAAAAGTAACTGTTTTTACGCTCGTATAGTAAAAACGTGTAAAACCCTTTCTTTTAAGTTTTCAACTTTTCTAAAGTTTTACCAAAAGTAATACGCAAAAATAAAATAAAAAAACTGGTATCTAAAAACATGAGCGCGATGAAGTAAATCATACTAGAACTAACGTAAAAAAGACTAYTTTGAGTTGTGAAGCTTTAGCGATTAATATTCAAAAGGCACACGAATGAACTACACATGACATGAACCGTAAGCAAGTGTTCACCTTAAATTATACACATGAATACGGCGTTGTTGTAAAGTGGCTAGCGTAATCTCACTTGAATGCCACGACGACGGGATACTGAGGACATAAAGAAGCCGTAAAACTATTCAGTGTTAAAGAAAATGCACTCGTATTTACATACGCATGTTTATATAAACTCCTATAAATGYACTTTCCCTACAATGAAACATCAAATAGTAAGAGAAGAAACAGAAGAAACTGGTTGAACAAGAAATAGACAGAGTTGCATTAAACTCACATATATGATTTCAATATTTGTTTAAAAAAAAATTTTTTTTTTTTTTTGTTTATAAAACCAGGGAGAATATTGTCTTATACACCATATAGTATATTGGAGAAAAGTAGTATTTTTTAAATCATACATTTATTTTTATTATCCCAGCATAACATTTCGTCTATAATAAATGTCTGTGCTTTAAAGACAAATTAAAATTTTTCATTGACCCACCTAATCAGCTGACTAGTCCAACTAGCGGTTCATACTTATGAGAAAGCATTTTTTCAGGATATATATGTGACCAGGTCTACGAAAAGGGAGCTAACGTGCGGAAACTAGTTTTCTGGCAAACAGCTGTTAAAAATAAACAACTCGTTTCGTCAGTTTCTCGTTATCCAATTAATTGTTCTCCTTTCCAGAGGCTTCGAGGACGTCCAGTAAGTGTTGCTTTTGGTTATAGTTCATCGTGTAAGTTGCTAGTGTGGAACACTGAACCCCTTTCCGTAGACCAGGTCACATATATAGGTGCCTATGAACCTATTAAAACAACTGTAAGTGTAGTCGTCAAAGCAAGTGCCTKCAAATATTGCCTCAAGGCGAAGAGTAAAAAATATTCAAAGTGGACTATAAAAGCATGAAAACACACTCATATAATACATACATATACATATGTAGTATATAAGACTCGTACAATAAGTACATAACCACACATACTTATTCAGAAACGGTAACAAGTACGTAGGCTTTTACCGCAAGTTTTTCTACCCTGAGTTGCTTTCCGGTTCATGCACCTTTATCTTTATATTCGTCATATGTTAGGGTTTGATAGACTTCCTTGCTTTACTTTGGACGATTTTGCTGTTTTTTTTTAACTTTAAAAATATTTTAATAGAATTAAATTTTAAGGTTTCGGTATACTAACAACCTGGCAGTTACTGTCACCAGCTATAAAGGTTGATCCCTTTTGTGGTGGAATGGGGAGGGTCTATTATCATTCGAAAGCACTTTCTTTGGCACTTATCCGTGCAGGTTATCTCTGTCAAATGTTGGCCCCGGCTGTATCTTAGGTGGTAAATCCGTTGAGTACAATTTTARATGACTCGTTCGAGAATTTCAATTGGTACCTGGCGAATGACACGCATAATGTTTTGCTCCAAAGCCTGAATCGAAGCGAGAATGCCCACTTAGGACCATAAATCTTCCCACAGGAAAAACTGTAAAAGGGTGCAATCTGCGCCTTGAAACGTTCTCCATCGAATGTTGGGATGTGTGGAAAGTGGCGTAATCTTATAGAAACCAAATGTTGCTGGTCATTTGAAGATCAGGCATCAAATAKTCGGTWACCATATCGYGATAACGGTCGCCTTTGATGGTTACGTTTTCACCGGCACAATTTTTGAAGAAATATGTTGCTGTTGTTGTTTTTTCTGGATGAAATGGCAGCTCTTGAAGCTTCAGGTTACTCTTCATCCCAAATGCGGTACTTKTGCTTRTTTACATACCCATTRAGCAAGAAATTGACCTAATCGTTGAACAACATTGGGGTCAAAAACGTGGAGTCTTCTTGGAACATACTCGTATAGTAAAGCGRTGTCSCTTGTGAAGGTTGAGCGGCTTCATATCGTGTACAAACTGTATTTAATTTATGATAGCGACGTAAAATGCACCAAAGCGTTCCATACRTCAGTCCAAGTTACTATGAACGGCACAGATTCGACTCACCACTGTCTCTGTGTACTCTCTCAGCTAAAGCTGCTTTATTTTMTTTACTGCGAGCTRGACGTGTTCTATTCTGGGTCWCAAKATGGGTGATTGTGTTGCGAATAGTATGCTTTCAGAGTGCTAATTATGGTGACCATAATTTGAGCGAAGCGCTCGAAACACATTCTTTACAGAACGTGAATTTTCGTATAAAAGTTAAACGATTTGTAAACGTTGTTCAACGTAAGTCTTTCCATGATAAAATRCCAAACAATATTGATCAAAAATAACATGACAACTTGACACAACTCASGCGTGATCTGTCGAAAATAAGCTATTGGAAACATTACTTCTACTTAACAGAGCTGCGAGTAAAAAATGAATTGAACAATCGAAAAACTTATATGCTAGCAGTATGCTACTTCTTCAGAGAATTTCGGCATGATGAATAGCTTTGCRTTACTCTTTTAACTTCAAATTCAAAGAAAATATTGTCATAAAAATATTCAGAAACCGCGAACTTTACATTACAGAATTACAACATTTTTTGACGTGACATTTATTTGACAGGTTTTCTAATTTAAATCTTTAGAACTACGCTTAGTTGTCCGAAGTCTACTGAGACTTATTATCTTTCCTGAACGTATTGTGCACATAAATTTTAGGCGCTGTTTGTCAATTGCTTAGCGCGTGATTTACGAGMTTACAGCACTGACCCGCCTTGGACCGCAAAAATGCAAATTTTTTATTGATTTAATTTATTGAATTGTATTGACGGGTATAATTTATGTGAAAGCTTTCCAAAATGAGCATATGTTATATGCAGATACATACTTATGTGGATGTCAAAACAGCTGAAGTTGGAAAATGTTAAGGATTATTTTAATTTGAAGTTCGCAAAAGCGCAAGCGGGAGCCCTTTGGCTGGCTTCAAACATTTATCGAGCTTTGAGAACGCCAATTTAACATAAATTTCATAACAAAAGAACTTTAACGTTAATTTTTGTTTGCTTCCAGGTTTGCCCGCAGAAATATTCCTGTACTGGCATCAATATCCCTACCTATTTGGACTTCCCTTCTGCAAGATACGCGCATTCATCTCAGAAGCGTAAGTAGCCGCCTTTGTGCCTTTGGTATTATCAGTGAAACATTATTTTATTTATTTGTTTAATGCCGATGAATGTTAAATGTCCTCCTGCGGCAATATTTTCATTTCATTCCATTCATTGCCTTTATATAATACACTCACCATCATTATTATTATTGTTGTAATTGCTGCTATTGTGGTTATTATTTTTACTTTACCATTGACAGTTCGACGTACGTCTCCGTACTCACAATCGTCGCCTTCTCCATGGAGCGCTTTCTCGCCATTTGCCACCCCCTGCATTTGACCGCGATGAGCGGCTTTAAGCGCGCAGTTCGCATTATAGCCGCACTTTGGATTCTCAGCTTGTTAGGCGCCATACCCTTCGGCCTGCTCACGGATATTCAATACTTGAATTATCCTTTAAGTAAGCATATAATTTATTTGTTCGTGTTTGTTTTGAAAATTTAACATTTAACACTGACAGTCTCAGTAAACAATTTGAGAATTTCAATTCAATTACGCACTTAACTCTCGACATAATTATAACTTAAACTTTTTGCTTTCCTTCCTTCCGCTTCGAAAAGCTGAGACGACAATACCGGAGTCCGCGTTCTGCAGCATGTCGCACTACCCTGAAGAATTTCCACTGTTCGAGATCTCATTCTGCTTCTTCTTCGTCATACCGATGCTGCTGATAATCATCTTGTATGGCAAGATGGGCGCACASATACGTTTCAGCACGACACTGCAGTTGGGTGAGTAAGCGTTTCGGTATTTTAAATTGATGGATTTAAAGTCTGTATGTGCATTACATTGTAAGGTAAGCTTACTTGATGAGCTTATAAAGAAGATATTGTGCTAGAATAAGCGAGGGCAGTACCCTTGCCCTTATATTAACATTATCTTTTTATACCCAGTCAGTGGCTGTACTGGATTATTGCTCAAATCAAAGACAGTATTAAATGACCTCCGACACAAGAAGCACCTTAACATTAACCCCTTCTTTTATCTTCTTCCTTTCTCTAGGCGTTCAACAGGGCTCTATGCACCGTGAATCTCGACATCAGCAGTCACGCAAAGCTGTAATACGCATGTTGGGTAAGTCAAATTTCTCTGCTACCTTATTTTCACAATTTACCTAGTGCCTAACAATTAAAGAGACATTTAATGAAAATGAATATGAAATGGCAAAGGGTATTGGCGTTGTAGAAAGCCATCGGAGGTAGAGCGATTATATTATATAACATAGCCATGTATGAAAAGAAAATATAATGTGGAAAATTAATCATTAAAGAAAATGCCTTAAGCATTTAGACTGATTTGCTTATAAATTTTCGAAAGGGAAAGTCCAAAAAAACAACAGAAGAAACTTTAACTTTGGTTGCACCGATGCTGAGGCACTCTATACAAATGAATAGTATCCAAGCTAAATAATATATTTGGAAATTATAGCGCTATCTTGGACAATAATCCTTGCCGAATGACAGCTATATTCTATATCCATTTTTGAAGCATACTTGTATATAAAATTTGTACATATTTTTTAGCGAAGCTGTTAGGAAATGTGTAAGCATGAAATTATATATATATTTTTCTAAAGTACCTGTATAGAACACAGCGCTTCATATTGTGGAACTTTAACTGAAAGTTAACCTCGTAACATACGGTATCATCCTTCATGTTCTAACCAAAAATAATTCATAAGGGCTTGATTATTAAATTGTATTCTAGTCCAGATCCCCAAATTTTTTATATCTATAGAAGAGTACACAAAATGAATGCATAAATGAAAACTTTAATTTTGAAAAGGTGGTGTACTCGTCTAAAAATATAACACAATGATGGATTCTTGATTGGAATGAATTTTATTATCTTAAGTGGGTCAGTGGGGTTTCCCGGGTAAAAAACAGCATTTTTTCTAGAATTGTATCTTCATATAAAAAACGATTTTTTATTTATTTAAATTTTTGAACACACCTCAAGCAAAGAATATTCTTGTACTTTGAAGCTTTATATAAAACCCTATGTAAACGCATACCCTTTGTAAAAAGTACGAAAAATAGTAGATTCAACACAGTGTAGTCTTCTGCACAATGACGCTTTATACCTCCATATGTGGCACAAGTGCGTTTGGGCTTACGCTAAGCAATGCTAAATATCCATAGAACATGTTTGCAGTGGAAAAGTCGACTGAGTGGCACTTCAACTCAGCTCACAGTGCCACAAGTGCGTCTGCCACAGCACTTACACACATAAATACCGGTAAATAGAGATGTATGTAGGTATGTAAAAAGTGTCTGCATAAGACAGTTTTATTTACATTGGGATATCAGACACTATGTGTATTAAAGTTGTGTTTCTAACTAAAGTTAGATGTCCTTGAACTATTTTTACCAAAGTGATGACGTTTTACGCGAGATATGTTGTATGTAGGAACAAGATACATTTACATTGCGTATATATACATATATGCTACAATCGWGCATGAGTTTTCATATATGATCATGTTTGTCGGTCAAGAACAAGTCCAAATTTGGACTGAAACAACAAAATTGTTTAAAATTGCTTAAAGGACTTTTTTCTGCAGAGCAATATTGAGAAATTCTGACCTTTTAGAGAGTCTCAGCTTTACTATATAAGAAAAAAGTGTAATGCTTGTAGCGGTTGAAACACAAGCGCCATTTCCCATAACTCTAGTATAATGACCCGCTTCCTTATCCATTCTTGCGAAAGCAGAAATAACGACGCGGTCAATGATATCAATCTCATCGGCGGACGCCAGCAGTTGTACACTCTTATGGAARATAATACCTTCCCTATTTAGTTCTACAGCTCGTATTATTTTCACCAAGAGCAGATTGAAGAAGTCGAACGATAGGAGTTCCCCTTGTTTTCAAACCTTTTATGACATCATACGGCTCGGAAAGGTCGTTTCCGATTCTGACAGAGATTTTGATATTGCTCAACGTCAGTTAACACAGCCGTATTAGTTTTGCGGGGTTATCAAATTCGAACTTCGCGGCTTAAAGGCAGCTCCTTTTCGTGCCGTCAAAAGMAGCTTTGAAATCGACGAAGAGGTGGTGCGTATCGATTTTCTTTTTCAAGATTTGGCGCATGATGAATATCTGGTCAGTTGTTGATTTGACAGGTCTAAAGCCACAATGATAAGGTTCAATCAGTTTGTTGACGGTGTGCTTTAATGTTTCACACAATACGATCCATACAACCTTATAAGCGATGTTGAAGAGGCTTACACTTAGTTGGCGCAAATATTAAGTGCCTTAGTAAATGTGGGGTGATACTTCGAAAAGATATCAGGTGGCTCACTTAAGAAGTTTTTGGGTAACACAAAGTACAAATGTCTATCCAATTGAAATTGTAGCCCAATTTAAATTGGGCACTATTGAAAATTTGGGAACAAGTGATTGCTTATTATACTCCGTTTATTCCGAACTCACACGTTCTCTTCTTTCAGACTTTAAGCCTGCTCGATATGCTTTTTCCGTGCGTATTCTGTTTATTTGCTTCTTTAAATGAGGCGGACAAAATTTTACGTGTGAATGTATGTTAACGTGCTTACATACGTACATACTTATGTATATATAAGTACCACATGTTTATATATTGTCTTTTTTCGTTCAACTAGACCCAAATTGAAACTTTCAGACAACAACTAKAAAGTCTCAAGGTCTTACACAAACATTTTATTGTCAACCGCCRTCCTGTTTGTGGCTACTAGACAGAGAAGAGCATTGCGTGGTAGGCACATTTGTTTAGATATAACATACATATACCATAGGTACGAGTATACCCAWGTAATATATATGGATGCATGCTTTACTTATGGACGTATGTATGTACTCTACAGTATATATATACAGAGTTGACAGCTAATTATTTTAACGTAAATTAAATTATTTTCGAATAAATCACTTATTTTTACCGTTTTTTCACTCATTTTATTGAAACTTACATTACGTTTAAAGTTTAATTAATTTTTTTTTTTTTTTTTTTTTGAAGATTTTCGACCATCAAGATCTATGTGATTTATTTTGGTTACAGCGCTCCAAACAATATAATTCCATTTATTTGTTGTTCAAGATTAATAAACATTGGAAAAATCGACACGTTGTTTACTATGAATTTTAGTGAGACTCT